TATTCATATGTGTCTCAATTGTATTTGTATGTTTCAGGGTTCTATTTAAAGGATTCTTGTTTGTTTCAATTTCATTGAGATGTTCCAAGTTTTTGTGTTAATAATATAAGTAGAGTCAGAACTCATTTATCCTTCCGATAAATGAGGTTGCAATGGAGGGTGGTTGGGATTTGGAGTTTGGGTGGGTCACGAACGTAGCCACCTCCACGTGGTGTGATCTGGTAATCGATATTGTTTTCTAAAGATTTCTTAGAAAATAATATCGAGCTAAGAGCTACGAATTATTAAAATAAAATTTCATTTAATTCTGTATTTTATTGTCACTTATTTACCGCTTATGAAAACTCAATCGATAATTTAGTGCATCGAACTTGAAGTACCATAAGATGATAAGTCAACTCAGCAGCGCTAATGTCTTATTTCAGTCTGTCTCGATAATGTTACATGCGACACGAAAGTGTTATGAGATTTCTACCTAGATGCCACTAATGACATTTTTACCAAGGTGCGCAGTTTTCAAAGATGCAAAATTTGAATTATAAAAAATTTATTTAATATTTCGCATTTATTAGTTGTTTTTATTAGTATAAAAATAAATTGCAATTTCGAATTTGGAAATCATCTTTCATAATTCTAAATTTTGAATCCATAATTTGAAGATTATAATTTTCTTAATTTCATTCAGATGTTTCAGGTTTTTATTTTAACTAGATAATCCTGCATTTCCTTTTCTGTTTCATTTCTTTATCCTCACACTTACTTATTTTACAGGTAATGAATAGGTCATCATTGAAGACATCGATCATCGAGGGATCATCGAGGGATCATCGGGGGATCATCGAGGGATCATCGAGGAATGCGTGCGCTAGTTTTAAGATAATTTTAATTAGCAAATCTTTGTGCATCTTCTGTTAATACCACCTTTTCATTAGGTGAATCATTCTTATTTCCTACAAGTACCCTGTTGACTACATCACAATTTTGTTCGATTTCATGTAACCATCGCTTAACGTTAGCAAAGGAATCACCACTGGTCACATCATAAACAACTATAACACCATGTGTTCCCCTGTAGTAAGTTGAAGTTATTGTCCGAAATCGTTCTTGCCCAGCTGTATCCCAAATTTGGAGCTTTACTCTCTCACCATCTATATCCACTGTTTGTATTTTAAAATCCACTCCTATCGTTGTTATGTAACTGCCATTAAAAGTATTGTCAGCAAATCGTAGGAGCAGTGAACTTTTGCCTACACCTGAAACAATTAAGTATAAATATAAATACTTATGTGCATAGAAATGAAAGTATTCTATAATACGTATCTATGAATTAAAAATTTCTTTTAAATAAGCTACTAAAGAATCTCATATTCCTATAAGTAACCGTTTATATTCATTTTATATATTAATAGCAATAATAAATATAATATTTACTGAAATAGTAGTATCTAAGCGTTGAATAATAAAGTTAACCGTAGAAAGGTTAAATGTTGATGAAATCTACGAACAACACATTTTTTAATATTAAAATCATTAAACATTATTAATCAATATAAATTTAACGAACTATATGAAATATAACAAATTTCAGTTAAATATAAAGGTTTATGTATGTACTAATTATTAAACAATGAATTTTTATCAATATACTGTTATAATTATTATGTTATTAAATGGTTATATGATCTAAGTCTCATATTTAAATTCGATGTTTAACATTGGTATCTTTTGTGAATTTTTTTACATACATCTAAATATGCGTTAATTTCATAACAATAATATGATTATATATAACAAAAATTTATTTCATGATGTTAATCATATAATTAGAATATTCTTGCATTGAAAGAATATACTTGTAAACATGAAATTTTCAATAAGTTTTACATTTTAAGGAGTCCATAGATATTTCTAAGAAAATGAATCATTTTCATTGCTGTCACATAAAAGAGCACTTTCTACTAGCTCCAGTTATGATAAATTTGTATTGTCTGTTATTATTAAAAACCTGAATGACATATTAATCTCTTTTAACAGAAATTCAAACTTTTTGGTTATACAGAATTATATAGCTTTACCATTGAATACATGTGATAAGATAAAAATTCAGATACTTACCACTATCTCCTATTATTAGAAGCTTAAATAAATGATCATATTCCCGGGCCATTTTGACATGTATGACGTGCAGGTTTATCAAACGTTTCCCCTCGAAAACAGTTCGAAATACAGACGATACATTCACTGTATCGCGAATTGTTTGAATGATCCGAGAACAAATGCAAAAAACGAAATGTCTGAGTTGGTGTAAATTGCGACAAGGCTTGCGGCTTGTCCGAAGTAAAAGGCTCCAGTATCAAATAAGCGCCATGTTTATTTGTCGCGATATCACAATTCATTATCACTACAGAGAAAAAAAATTATGTTCGTTAACGATGGTAGCTATTTCCTTTCAATTCATAATAAATTAGCTTTATAATTTCGTTTTCTTTAAAGATTATATACTTTCATATAATTATAATAACGAAAGTAATAATAATCTGCACATGTTTTTAAAAATATTGCTAGCCAAAAAGAAATATCTTTGAAAAATCTAATTGCCTTTAAGTTCACCGTCCCAAAATATTGATTATTTCATAGAATAAATGGAAAAATCAAGCTTTCTCATTTTAGACAACATATGTTGTTACATTATTACAAATAACTAAATCAGTTAAAACACTAGACATACTTGAAAATAAGTATCTTCTCCCACTAGACACATTAGAGATTTTTGCATTCCCTACTTCATTATTTCTCATTGAACCGATATTTGATATGTTCCAAGCGTTGTAAAAATTCTACCATATATAATAAATATAATCGACAGGAATAAATTACAAGATAAAATGATTTAGAAAGTATTTTTAAATCTCCTCATTCTTTCCTCCTATTACAATATTAATTTATCTTACTAAATATTTTTATTCAGATTATGATCTAAACATGAAATTCAAATCCAAATATATGTATTTATACCACTGGGATAGTAGGTGGTGAAAGAGTTTTCGAATATGAATAGAAAGCTTCACGTCAGCATTTATATGTTTACAAGATACATATATTGTATTGTAAATAGAATTTAATATAATCTTTCAAAGCATATATCATTCGTTTCACGAAAGATCGTACTCATCAGACAATGAATTTTTGTTCATTCTGCGCAGGAAAAGCAATGTGCATGCGTATTTGCGATTTCTGTAATACCAACTGTATATATCTAGTAGTTTTTTATTTTTTATTTTGAAAATTCAAGAACTTCGAAATTTAGAGATTTTGGATACGGAAATTTGATTTTATTGACATATTATTGTCCACCCTATATATCACTAACAAAGTAAAAAGTCTTTGGTAATGGATGACACTATACAGTGGGAGGTTTACTAAGTCTAAAATGAGCGAATAATTTATGATTGAGCGAGCGAGCCGAAGGCGAGCGAAGCTCTTATACTTGATTTTGCAACTTCTTTGTCCGCGTTTTTCTTTTACATAGAAAAAAAATTTTAAATCGGACTTGCCACGGAGGAATAAATACCGAAAAAACTGATCCTCATAGACTTCAATGTAAAAATTGAATTTGCTCACGTTACAAATAGTGCAGTTTAGGGACTAAAAAATAGGCGCCCATCTAGCGGTGAAACGGGTGAACTAAACCTAAAAAATGAGGGTCCGAACACGCG